TAACTAATCCACTATCTGTGATGGCGAATGATCGCGGGCTCTGCCTTTATGGCCTCTCTTGTGCATATTTTTCAATAGATCGTGTTTATTTTTATTTTTTTATATTAAAAAAGAAAGCCAATCCAAGTATTCTCCTGTCACTGGTATGAAAGCAATGGCACGAAATTCCCGAAGTTTATTCCAAAAAACTCAAAAAGACACAAAGTCTCAGAAGCAAGAAAATTTTCTTGACTTTTGTCTCTTTTATAGTTTTCAGACTTAATTTGTGTTTCACTCTGTTCTTAAAGTTGCTAACAGGACAAAATTAAAGTTAATCTAGAATACGGTTGATATCGTTGCAATCAGGGCAAATCATCCTTGGAGTTCCTCCAACAGGGGGTCGTATTTGGTCGAGTAAATTTTTTGGGCTGATTTTTGCTTCGCAGACGCTATAAGTAGGGGGGGCGTGGGTGTGAGGATCGCATTCGATCGTTGTTGGGAGAGTGGGGATCGTGTCCATCTTTGAAAGCAGTTTGCGGCGTCAAGAAAAATTCTTCCCAGTTACTGACTTTTCGCCCCCTTCCATCGCTCGACAATAAAAATTTGACGGCAAAGTAGGGAAATTATCAGTAGAATTCCGGGAAAACCGAAAGTGGTGGGAAGCTAGGAAAGTGGGAGCAAGGAAGCGGAAGGAGGGGGAGGGTCGTATTTTCCTCGACAATTCAGTAGTATCAGATGAAGGAAGTAGGGAGGGGGGGGTGGCACCGCACTCAACCAAAATCCCCAACCAATGATATTCCCTCGTTAATTAATTACCAACCTAATAAATTGTGCCTTATAGTCGAAATTCACATTGAGAGTTATCAGAAGAATCTGCTCTGTTTTGTTCTTATCTTTGCACCTTTACTGGCCACCTTTTACCTTTTGGTATGAAAATTTCAGAAATTCAAGTTTAGTTAATCTAAATTTTCTAATATTCTAATTACCATATTTTCGGATATAGGGCGCATTCATTTGCAGCCAGGGTCCAGCATCATTGTGTGAAACGCATGGGGGTCGTACTTTTACGCTGGGGAGGGGGCGTATTTCGTCGTTGGGAGAGAGGGGGGGGGTCGTATGTGCCTTCAAGAGAAGATTGTGCCCCCTCCTCAACGGGAAATTCTCGGGTAAAGAACTGGAAAGTGTGGGAATTTTAGGTACGGTGTTGGGGAAGGGAAGGGTCGTACCGAGACCCTCACTTAGGTGGGGGTCCGTACTGGCACCCTCCAGAGGTCTTACCTACACCACCATTTCACACCTCACGACGCTGTACCCTGTTTGCAGTGCAGTAGAGACGCTCGCAACAACGCACTGAAAAGTTGCTAGACAAAGTGACAGCTAGTTTCGTCTTTTTGTATGTTTTAAACGGCGCTCTTCAGCTTAGGGTGGATGCCTTTTGCACTCCCGCTAGCTCATTCTGTCGTTCCGGTCAACTATCCTGTCTTGTGAAGCTGACAAGGCACAAGCGAGCCAGTGCGTTTACAAAAATTTACAGGTCTTTACAAGGTAGCCTAAACAAACTTCGCTGAGTACACTTTGCTGCCCCCTCACCCAAGCCGAACTGCGCCGTTTGATCTTTTAATTGATTCTTCCAACAATTTCTGTATAAACTAGCAGTTTGGGAACTTCTCACGAGTTTCTCGTCAAACCAACGTGATATTTCTGTTCAAGGGACCATAATACCACTAGTGACAAACTGTCAGCAATTTTAGGATTTCAAGATTTTTGGCAGCGCTGTGGCGCGGGTGCCAGGCGTGGTCGTTGAACCTCGCGAGGAGGCACACTCAGGGCACGCCATCGTTGTGATAATCACAACGGGGGCTCGTATTTGACCGCGAGGGAGGGGGGGGTCGTATTTGGTCTGAGAAAAATTTTTTTGATAGTTGATTTCTCTTGTTTCACGGACGCTATAAAGGGGGGGGTCGTATTTGCTCGTTGTTGGGAGGGAGAGGGGTTTGAGAGGAATTTGCGGCGTTGGAAAAACTTTTTCCGGTTGTTGACTTTTCGCGGTTTTGAATTTTTGCGCGTCTTTGACGCGCTTTGTGTACTATATTACCCCCCGGCCACCGTTACGCCCAGCATCGACAGCAAAATTTTGGAGAAAAACTAGAAATTTTCCGAGAATATGGCGACAGGAAAAACTGAAAAAGTGTGGTACAAAACTTGTGGGAAAACTCCATTAAAGTGGTAGGTGGGATGGGAAGGGGGCGTCGTATCAGAGATGTGGAATTAGGGGGGGGGGGTCGTATTTTGCAGGAATTTGTCACAACGCGATGGCGTTCGCTGGGCACACTATAACCGGAAACAAAATTCCAGTCAAGTCTGCACACGAGGAAAAATTACGATGAAAACCTGGTCTTTCGATGAGTGAGTCAGTGAAAGGTAGATGTGTCGCGCGGGGGTTCGTAATGAGATGCAAGAAGCAACTACCTCGGGATCCCTCCCCAACCACCCCCCCTGTATTGAGCGATCCATGGACTGCCGCCCAGCAATTCCTGGTGACCCTTGCGTAAATGCAAGCAGACCTCATCTGACACCACAGAAATAAGTGAGCGTGCAAGCGTTTCCAAACTACGTCATGCGTTAAGTTATACTTTTTTCTTTTATTTCGTCATTGGCGCACCTTCTGTGCAAGCATAAATGAATAATTATCTAAATAAGTGATGGCCCTTGTGGCAACCTTACTATTGGACTTGGTGGTAGTAAAGGATAAAGGATCCAAAACTTCAAGTTCATAAGAAAATAGAGCGTGAGTTTGTTTCTAGACGAATTCATGTGTTTGCGCTATCACGCATTTTTATAGGTTGCAATAAATTCCCATCGGGGGACAACTGCTCTTTGTTGATTTAGAAGCTGCAGCTGCTGAGTATTCACTAATGATGTCTTGTATTGCAATCGAGCATGTCATAGTCCTCTCAGAGACGTCTGTCGCATCTAGCGCATCCCCATAGGGACCAGGGTACAGCATCGTGATGTGTGAAATGGTGGTGTAGGTAAGACCCCCCTCTCCGAGAAATGGGTGTCAGTACGACCACTCCACCTAAGTGAGGGTACGGTACAACCCCCTCCCTTCTCAAGCACCTACCTACCAATTTCCAACGTTTCCAAGCTTTCACCCAAAATTTGAAGGTATGTAATGCCAATAAGTTACGCGCGAAAAACCACGTGGAGATTCAACCGGCGAAGAATTTTTTTTTCCCAATGCCGGATACATTTATTTTGAAGCCACACCTCTCCAAGCAACCACCAGTAAGCCGCCTCTCTCCTATTATGGTTCACACAACGATGCTGTACGCCATAATGGGGGGCACAACCTTCAAGGAATATTATTCTCGGAGGCTCTCCCGCAAACACATTCCCCCCTGTGACGCAGAGCACAACACACGGATGCTCAAACCCAACTGCTCGACCAAAGAGAATCCTTTTTTTGTATCTGGATTTCCCTGCGAAGCCAAGTGCCACTATTTGAAAGCGCGTCAAGCAGGGTACAGCATCGTAGGATGAAGCTGCACCACTCAAGGGGAAAAGGTTCCCTTGAAGCAACGGGAATTGAAAGTTGTCCGGATGCCGAAAAGTGCTCCACAAACTGTAGTGTTGCAGTTATTTTTTTTTTTTTTCAGCGCACCAATCACCGTACGAGTGGTTTTGCCGTTATTGTTAACAACGAGCGGACTCAGAAGAATAGCAGTAGAGCGGATACGGTCGGATAGAATAGCTGTCAAGATGAAATTAGAGGAGAAAGCCAGTCTTTTGTCAGACAATAGTTTACATCAGTTGGCATCGTCGATGGAATGAAACATAATGGTTAAGCCGAAAAAGCCTTTCCTCATAGATTTGATATGGTAATAAGGAAAAAAAATGTTATTGATTGAAAGAAAAGTCTTCTAACCCGAGCAATCGATAGCGCTATACTCCCGCCACCTTGATGCTGGCGCCTCCATGCTTCGACCTTCTGCTGTATCTCCACGATTTTAGCTGCGATCTCTGGTTTGACATCTGGTATCGTGCATATGGCGCGTTGAGGCACACTTTGAGGCCAATGAACACTTTTCACTACGGTATACGGACCACCTTGCAGTAGAAGAATGTTTGGCTCCCGCGGTCAAGCACGTTTTTCCGTGCAGTCACAAACCCTCCTAGACAATATGGCAGAGTCTCTTTCTCTAATGAATTCGTCACTGTCCACCTATTATTTCTAGGCGCTATTGAATTAGGAATCAGTGTCGTCCTTGCTGTCGGCGAAGGCTGCCAGCCGAGCGTTAATCGGATCCTTAAACCATACCCCGATCTGCCATGTCGGCAAATCTCCATCTTCACTCTTTCATCCAGTGTTAGCCTCGGCATTCTCCTCATCACACATATTTTTTAGGTATTCCTTCTGACTGGAACTCCGCTTGGGTTTCTTTTCGGCGAGTATGGGTTTCCGAGACTCCGGCGGCACGTCTTCAGGTTTGCTTGTCCGTCTCGTTTCCGTTTTCTTCGCTACAGCTTCGTCTTACGGAACATCCTTCACTGTTTGGTCTTCCATGTCTTCATCTTTGCTCTCCTCTATGCCATGCGAGATAGTCTTCATCAGATTGTGGCTCCCCAGTCTCTTCATCAGATTGTGGTCCCTTGTTTTTTGTCGATCATCATCACTTTACCATCTTTTCATCTGAGAAAATTCACGGTTCTCTTTTCTCCAGCTGCTGTTAATCCGTCTTGCGGATCGCGCCGGAGTCCACTCTTTTGCCCATCGATTACGATAACAATACATTCCGCATAAAATGCCAATGAAGTAGGGTAGGTTAATCTGCAAGTGTAAGACCATTCGCATGCTACCTCACCGACCGTAAATACCTGCACACTGGGCCTGGTATGATGGGTAGTTTTTGTTGGTTGCATGGAGCATGCGCTTAAGTGACATCGGTAACATCCGCCCATTGTGAAATAGTGTCTTTCCGTACACGAATGGACTATTGCAGAACCATGTCTCGCAAGCTTTAATCGGAAGTCCGAGATTTTCGGAAAGCCCCACATGTAGTTCCAAAAAGTTCCAAGCCTTTCCTTTGCTTCTTCGCACGTGCACGAACAAACATGTCGGGGATTGTCGCCTGAACCGAGAATCTCTGCTTTTGATCCATTTGCTCGGCACAGTAATTGAGTGCTGTACTTGTTACTATCGTCCAACCCTTCTGCCTCAATCCCTCCACTCCGGCAAGGTGATTGAACCAACTCTCTCCAGACTTCTCATGACCGAATTCACCCGAGCTCAGCATAACATAATCTTCAGCAGAGTAGAATATAGAATTCGAGAAAATTTCGTGTGTCTGACTAATCATATTATCATATCCAGGAGGCGATTTATCTCGGAAAACTGGCCTGACAAGCTGATCACGTTGATGATTTTTCCACTTTTCGAAATCAATATTGACCATGGCATGAATGGAGGTTTGCGATGACTGCGTCGATCGGGAGACGTGGATCACTTTCCGGACTAGCTCGGAGCCTGTGTGCTTCATAGTGATTGCAGGGAGATATGGTAGGAAGTAGTGTACCAGAAGCAATTCAGTTGCAGTTACAATATATAGTCTCAATTCATCCGTCAGGCTGGACAATCGTGGAATTCGTTTGAGTTCTCGTTTTTTGGAGGTTAGGCCTATTACGCAGTAACTCCTCGTCAAGTCCATGATCATTTTTGTATTGCAGGAATTTTTTAAGAATGTAACCTGATGATGTCAAAAGAGACAGACCATCATCGCAGAATAGAGGTAGCGGGTAATAGTTCGGGCAGTGGCAGAATGCTCGCCTGCCACGCGGGCTGTCCTGGTTCGGTTCCCGGCCGATGCACCAGTTTACGGATGAATGCATCACTACAAGGAGGAAAGTCTGAATACGAAAACTTTCCACAAAATGTACTGTGCAGGTTTATTCAGCACCAATCACGTACGAAGGGGTTATTGCCGTTATTGTTCAGACGAGACAACTCAGGAGAATAGCAGTGGAGCAGACGGTCGAAGAAATAGCGGCAGAATAGACGTTAGCGGGAGAAACCTCGATGTGTTTATCCGACAGTGCTCATATACCGTTGGATCGTCGAGGAATGAAAACATAATGGTAGAGCCTGAAAGCTTTCTCATAAGATCCGCTATGGTGATAAGGAAAAAATGCTATTGAATGAAAGGAAAAGTCTCTAACCCGAGCAATCGATAGCGCAGCTATAATCGTGATGTGTGAAATGGTAGTGCCAGTACGACCCACCC